TGAATTTCCATATTTTTTTCCAGAAAGGGGCCATATTTAGCTCTTCAGCTGCACAATTCTTTCTTTTTTTTCTTCATAAGTTAAAGATGGTTCATGGGGACTTTAAATGTCAGATCCTATAACAGGCAAATGCCGTATGCATGCAGCTTCTTTAAGGGCAAAAATGTCTCGCTTTAAAAAATAGTTGTAAGGATAATCCTGTTGATTGTTTTCATTCCCTCTCCTTCCCTAATGATGGTCCTAATATGTTAAAATGATAAAATTTGACTTTTGGGGACAAGGCAAGATGTTTCCCCAGAAGTGGGGAAAGCAAAGAGAAGTTATATATGTCTGGAGGTATTGTTTTTTCAGACATCTAGTTGAAATGCATGTAATTTGAATAGTGCTGCAGCAGCACAGAAGGGAGCACAATGAGCAAATTCCTGTTTGTGATGAGGTAACTGGCACCTGCACTCACCAAAGGCATATTTTAATTTCTTCCACGTAACTGCCTCTGTCTCCCTTGGATATGAACTAATTTACCTTGCCTGATGCAAGAAGTTTATCATCTATAAACATAGGCTTGGGGGATTTGGATTCCTTTGCTCCTTTTCTGTCCTACTGTTAGACACGTATTGCCAGATTTCTAGTTAAAAGCAGTGCCAAATAGCAGGATAAGACTTTCAGCCAAGAAAAAAAATGATGGATTTTGACTAGTTGTGCTTGCAAAATGAGAGGTGGGGAGGGAGGGAGGGAGGCGGAGAGAGAGAGAGAGAGAGAGAGAGAGAGAGAGAGAGAGAGAGATTTTCAAGTTACCAGTTAGATAGCATGACCTTTACCCTACCTCTCTTTCTGAGCAACTTTTAAGAGTTGAATTTTGTAAAGCTGCATCAATTAAAATCTGTCCAGCAACCAGGGCCTTTGGCTTTTACATTGTTACAATGTACTTAGCCACGCCATGCAAAAGGACACTTCTTGGCCCATTTATGCTTCAGTCCATTTTCACTAGCACTTAGGACTGGTCGACCAAACCCTGACAACACTCACATCATTGTTCTTGAATTTAATATCAATAATATGTATAGAATGATGTGATATATACTATGTTTTTATACATCTGGTTCCTTTTGACATTCTTTTACATAAACTCTGGTAGAGGTTTACATCCTTTTAGTTTGGTTATGTACTCAGAAGTAAAACTATAGGTTCATGACTTAGAGGTACACTTAGTTTTAGTAGATATTGTCCAGTAGTTTTCCAAAGTAGTTGTATGACCTAACATTTTTCACATGCAATATATGTGAGTTTCAGTGGCTCCATGATCTTTGTTTCTTATTGTCAGTCTTTTCAAATAGACCTATTCTGGTGGGGTTTTCCATATCTCATTGTGGATTTAATTTGCACTTCTCTGATGAGTAATAGTGACAACTGCTTACTTGTGTACTTGTGGGTAATTTAGATATCTTTTCTGTGAAGTAGTAGTTCATTCCTTTTGTATTGGTTTTAAAATTTATATTGTCTTTTATTATTGATATGTAGAAATTTTAAAATGTATGTATAGAATAGGTATAAGCCTGTTGGTTATTTTTCTGAATATTTTCATACCTTATAATTGAGCTTTCTGACATCTTAAGATATCTTTTGATTGATGGAAACTCTTAATTTAATGAAAATATTAATTTCTAATATTGTCTTTCATAGCTGATTTTGAGGGGTATGTGATAAGATCACATCAGATCACTATGGTTTTCTTTTACGCTTTGATCTAAACACTTGCTTTATCTTTCAGATTTAAGTCTACTATTTATTTCAAATTAATTTTTCGGATTTTGAGTGTTGTAATGGTTAAGGTTCAATCGATTTGTTTGTCTTTGAGCCAATACTATGCTATCTTAATTTCTGTAGCCATAAAGCTAACCTTGATATTTTAAAATTTTTGGTTTTTTAATACACAGTAGTTGTAGACATTAGTAGAGTACAGTATAATATTTAGATATGTGCACACAACATGTACCTCACCTTGTCTTTTATGATTGGAAATTTTGATTCTCTATCTTATTATTCATAAAATATAAAATTTGTTATTTGTTGTGCTATAGAAAAGGAGAATACATTCCTCCTTTTTTTGGTACCCATGTTCCAACCTCCCTTTATCATCCTTCCCTGTTACCATTCTCAGCTTCTAGAATATCTATTCTGTATTACAATATGATAATTTTAGATTCCACATATGAGAGAGAACATGTTATCCTTTAATATTGTTCTTTAAGAGGCTTGGGCTTTTATATATGCTTACAAATTTTAGAATAATTTTGCACAAAGTGTCTTCAAAAGCAGTTTTGATCTTATTGACTCACTAGCCTCCCCTATGTTCCTTTAACTTCAAATTCTAGGTAGCTTTTTGAGGAGGAGTCCAGCAGAGTGCTTACAGAAGTAGTCATCTCCGTAGTGAGAATTTGGCTCTGAAATACCTGGAACCAGTGAAAGGCATCACTCTGCCTTTCCTGACTAGGTGCTAGCCTAGAACTCAACTAATTTCAGGTAAGAAAATGTAGCCCTGCATATATCAAGTTTCTAATCCATTATGCTACTGCTCTGCAACTACCAGTGCTGACATTTCCCTGTCCTTAGTAGAGTCCCTCTGGCTAGTTCCAAGCTTCATGTTTAAACTTATGCTAAGAGTTAGCAAATACCACAGAAAGGAAAATGCCTGCTACTATCAGTTAATATTTGGCAGAGCTTCTTGCTTCCTGAAATTTTAGTGAATTTTGTCTTTGTCTACACACTTTCCTGATATCCTTAAACCTATTGTCCCTCCCTCTCTCCCTCCCTCTCTCTCTCTCTCTCTCTCTCTCTCTCTCTCTCTCCTCTCTCTGTATGTGTGATGTTTTCTTGTTGTAGCAGGAGCATTCACAGCCGATTATTTGAAGGCAGAACCCCAGAAACCATTTTATAGTCATAGCCCTGACTGTCTCTCATTCAACTTGGCTCTATCACAGGTAAGTAGTTTATGAGAATTTAGGCTAATTCGGTAGATCAGAGGAAGGGCAGCAAATGTACCTATCTATGAACTTCCCTGACACAAATGATGGAAAACTTGTAGTAGATTTATCACCCTTTTGCATTAGTCATATTCAACAGTTTGTAAGGGTAGCAAGTGCAAGGAACATTCTCAGTTCTATTCCTGATTGGAATGAGATGTCAGCTTTGAACCTACTATACAAATGTGCTACTATAGGTACCTGGATGTACACCCTTTGACAAAGGTCTTAAGTTAGTTCTGGGGTGACTTCTAGCTTTGCATCTTTCCCCACCATGTGACCATATGTAAATTACTTAATCCCTCTGATTCTCAAATTTTCCACCCATAACTTCATATACTTAATTTATTGTGAGGATTAAGTATGCTAACAGGTAAAATTGATTTTTCAGTGCTTTATGTTTAATATGTCTTCTTTCCATAAATTTGAGGATTTATTACAATATTATGGGCATGCCATGCCATTTAATATATACTTTTCAGGCACAAATTATGTTTGCTTACTTAAGGGGGAGAGTGACATAAAGTGAAAAACACAAATTTTAAGACTACCAATCAATGAGCTTTAGCAATTGTATATTCTTATATAACCTAAAGTCCCACCTAAACTATAACCATTCTCATCACCCTAGATAATTCCCTTATGCTCCCCCTAATCACTTCCCACTCCCCAAGACACAACCATTATTCTAGCTTTCCACCATATATTATCATGATTTTTCTAGAATTGTATGGAATAGAATCATACAATATGTATTTTCATGTCTAGTTTCTTTCATTAAGTATAATATGTGTGATATTCATACAGATTGTTGTTCTTGTGAGTAGTGCCCTTATTTTATATTAATTGTTATTGAGATATTTATGAAATCATGGTAACTGTATAGAACTTGGCCAAAGACAGAGAATGTGAGGCTTTCACCTACCATGTATTTCCCAAACACCCTCAAAAAGTTTTGTAATCCGACTACTTTCATTCTGTAATGTCTCACTAGCACAATCAAATCAACATCCTCATTTCTCATCTAAACCAATGAAAGAACCATTGTCAACTTTTATATGATCCATTTTCATGAAGAGTCCATTTGCTGCAGTCCTTAAATAATATTTAATCTATTAAAAGGACTGTTGAGGCATGGATTTTGTGTCAGTTCCTCTAATAGTTGGTGGACTTATTGATTGTATAACCTCATTAATAGGAATAAATGAAGAGATTTTGCAATTTATTTTGCAATAACATCTGTCCCCAGGATGTAGGACAATTGGAAGCTTTAATGAATTGATAATTACAAACATAAAAGCACTTAGCAGCTCCAGGTAGAGGTGACGATGAGGCAAAGATGCTAATAGAATCAGAGTTTAAGACTTGGAGTGGATGATTCCTTTCCCAGTAGAGATATTCAGGAGACAGATGCAGACTACTTGTATTCACTTTACTCTGAAATATCCAAGTAATATATATATATATATATATCCTGAGTTTTCTTCTACAAGGTTTCACTTTACTCTGAAATATCCAAGTAATATATATATATATATATCCTGAGAGATCCTGAGGAAAGAGATGCAGTAGATCTTCATAAGACTGTCAAAAAGAGAAGGGCAGTATCTGAGATCTCCTTTAACTATATGGACAAATCTCATCTCAAGGATACTAATCTTTATATTTGTCTTTTCCATTATTAGATCTGCTTTGCTGTTTTTCCTGGCTGTGACAACCTGGTGGTGATTATAATAGTCTACTAGTTGTACAGAAGTTTTGTTATTTTATTTTATTTTTTGGTGTGGGAGGTTAACCAACATCATCTAAAGTTCTGTAGCTCTACTAGACTCATTCTATAATTGATCATCATCATATTCATATCGACATCCTCATTTCTCAACCAAGTTAACAAAAGGACCATCGCCAGCTCCACAAGATTCATTGCCATCAAGTTTCCATTTGCTATAGTATTTTATCTATTGAGAAGAAGGTTGAGTCATGGAGTCTGTTTCAGTCCCTACACTAGTGTCTGGACTTATTGATTGCATGTCCCAGTTAATAAGAGTAGCTGAAGAGCTTTTGCAGTTTCTTTCACAGGAACAACAAGCTCTTTCTGCACAACAAAATGGTAGTGCAGAAGAGGGAGGAGCATGTGCATCTCCTTCTGATGAAGATTCCCTACCAGATCTTGCTGAATTCTCTGATTTAGAGTCAATACTTTCAGTAAAAGAAGATGACGACCTAGTTGTTGATATGGATGAAGCTATGATAGATGCAAATGACGCAAATGAAGGTATACCACCTGCCATACAGGATGAGTCAGAAAGTGAGAAAGGCCAATAATCTTATTTTTAATTTTAAGTGAATCCTGTTTTAGTTTCTAAACTTTATCAATAAGAGTTTTCTCCTAGTTCTGCATATTGTCATTATTAAAAACTTTTAGAATAGATAAGATTTGATTTTCTTCTGGCAAAACCATTTATTTTCTTTGTTTTCATTTTCAAAACTGACTTTAGTGATATAGTGATGATAAGACCAAATAAAAGCAAAGAATCTACTTAAGAATCCAATAAAGAACTGACGAATTCTACCATATCTTGAGACCCAATGTCACTGTTCTGTGATAAGGGGAAACTAAAAAAGGACAGTATTCCACAGTATGGTCATATAATGCATTTTCATATGACCGGGATAAAGTTGGAACATCACATCTTAAATAGAGAGGTTGCTATAGCAGAGAAAGAGAAATAATTCTAAAATCACAACATCTAGCAGCTAATAAAACTATAGAAAAGTTTTCTAGAATTGCTGTGGCAAAAACTTTGAGAAAGCTAGGGCCACGATTTTCCAATGAAAGACTGTTTCTACAAAAGTTGACACATACTGCAACTGTTTTGCAATATTACTTCTTCATTACAAACTGGATGTTATACTAAGAAACCAACAGTGAAGTACTAGGATGGAGAGACAAAACAAGACAAAGACTTTATCAATGGAAAGTCAAACACGACATCAACCTGGAGATGATGGTCCACAAGAGGAGTGGGTAATGTATATCTTTTCAGGAATAAATGAATTTAAGACAAATTGAAAGCTCACTATAGCAGGAATGTAACAACCCTTTGTTACTGAAATGTAAGAGCAATGATTAATATAAACAAGATGTGCACTGGTATAGAGATACAATGATGCTATACAAGTCATAAGGGGGACACTCAGTAGTTGAAGCACTCCCACACCAAAACAGGGAGCAACCAAATACCAACTTACATTCTACAATCCTTTTAATTCTATTTGGAAGTTGAGCTATGTATCAGATACATCTATGGACAGACACTGTGACCTTCCTTTCTAGAAAATGGCCTTTGTATCTCATGACATGAGCAACAACTTGATAAAGACATTAGGACAGACCGTTGGAAAATGTATATGCATGTTGTGGAGAAGAAGTAACGTGCAGAAGGTAATCTACACTGATGGAAACCAGATAATGCCATTTTATGTACAGCTCTAAAGCATATTATAGTTAAAAAGATTAAAATGACATTCAATACAGATGGTTTCAGAAACATGACAAAAACAGCAACAGAAAAAAAAGCGGAAATTATGTCATAGTGCAACTACTGTAGTTAATTACATACCATGCCATGAAGCATATTGGAAGAGTATTTCTACAATAACTTTAATATACAAACTGGATCTTACTTTCCTAATATGAAAGATATGCAAAGTTGCAAATAATTGATGCATTGGGAAGGGACTGGGTCTAATTAATCTAAATAGAGTAGAGAGAGCAAGAAGAAACTGTTTATTCTTCCACATCTGTAGGAAAAGTTAACAAAGAATAGTGATGGCACATAAGTAAGGAAATCTATTTAGTGAAACATTTAGACTTCGTCTTACATTTAACAGCATTTACCAATAATAATTATAGTGATAATAGTAATAACAAAAAAGACTGTATAAAGTTAGAAGACATATATTTTCATTAAGGGGATAGAAGCAGTTAGGTAAAATATATACTGCCCACAGGGAATTTGGACTTTAGGAAATTGGGTTATAATTTTCTTTCAACATAAAACACAAAGTATAAATACCCCCCTAAAATTAGGAAACTGATCCTAACACAGTCCACCAGTCTGCTATAAATTCTATTTAGTGAGCAATTTAGATGACAAAAGACAAGCCTGATGCTCTGAAATGCATTAGTTACTGAGGGGTGGGTATCAGTCCAAGTAGAACCTTAGAATATGGGCTTTAAAAAAATTTCACAGTACATTAGTATAAACTTGTTAAAACTGTTAGTGTTTTAGAGAACATAAGCAAACATATCAACTTAATCAGGACAAGAAAATAAACAAAGCCTTGAACAAGACCGAGTAACAATTAATAGTGTAATCCTTAGGTGTTAAAACAAGAAGATGCTGCAACCTCATAATACATGGATCTGCTTGCCTCTTGTTTACATGTGTCACCTGGAAAGATGGACATAAAATAACACCTTAGGACTAAACACATATTTCAGCGTTTGCTTTGATTGCATCATTATATGTGTATAAGAATTGTTAAGAATTGTTAAGATGTAACCCTCCTTTAAGACATAGACTTTTGGATCAAGCATACTTTGTATATGGAACAAGATTAGGAATAGAGTTAATAGAGGCAAGAAATAAGTGTAGGTCATAAGAAAATACTTAGGAACAAGAGCTAGTGGAAAAGGTGTTTTCAGTAGAGATAACATTAATAAATTTTTAAGAGTTATACAGTTACTTGAGATAGTTATATCCTAAGCAAGTTTATTAGCCAATCTTTATTTGTACATTATGCAAATTAGCCAACCCTGAGATATTGATAAAAATATCAATAGTTGGTAGTTGACATAGGTTAAGTAGGTGCACAGTTGAATTAGAAGGAGAAATACTAACTTCGTCTGCTGACTGGATACCTCTGACTGAGACCTGGAATCTCCTGCAGAGGAGTGGAGTGAGTGGCTGGTCCATTATCCAAAGCAGCCCCTTTCTGCATTTTCTTGAGATCAATGTCAAAGCCATATTTTGTATGGCATAATGAAATTGAGAGGAAGAGAGAATCTACATTCGGAGACAAGCTTAAACATGTTAAAACCAGGAAAGATCAGCTGGTAGATGGCACCAAAGTAGGTAGCACAAGTCTTCATTCTTAAATGCTTTAGCTGAAGTGTGTGAGCTCCTGTACTCCACACCTACTGTGTTCATGTGATGATTACTTCCACTTATTAGGTTGTAATTGCTTATGACCCTGAATAACTATTGTTCCAAACAAATCTTTTTTTAGAAGTTTTAACTAATAAAGTTTAATTTACAAACCAAAGAACTTGTAGTCATCTTTAATTATCTAGTGAAAAATATAAAGGCTACCAAACTGTCATAAAAGGACTCAATTTGACAGAAGGTTTTGGAGTGTAATCAATGATAATGTGGTACCAAGAGTCTGACTTTTTACTTCTGGCTTCTCAGATGATCTCCAACAAGTCTGTGAACATAGTCCTTTATTATTTGTAAAATTAAGATGATAATACTTTTCATTCTTTTAATGGTAAAAAGGAACAGATGGAATATTATTTTTAAGGACTTTGGTATATCTGACAGTAGGACAGAGAACATTAAATAATGACATTTTAAAAATATCTGAGTAGTGTTGGTATGAAAATAGTTGAAGATTGAATTGACATGTATTGATAATCCAATAGTTTTATACCTGTTTTCTAAGAGACAAAATTCCTTATTCTACTATTTTATGTCAGAATTAAAATATAGAAATGGCTTTTATTTCTTTGGAGTGTATTTTCCCTCAAATTAAATTCTTTTAAGGAGCCCATTTTGAATCCTAATAAGAATAATCGTGAGGAAAAATACTAGTGCAAAAACCTTTCAAGGAATAATTAATTATATTCCATTTAAGGCTAAGATTTGTCCCTGAGAGGGTTTGTGTACTAGTCACTTTTCTTTTGCTGTGGCAAAATACCTGACAGAACAACTTGATGGAGTAATGGTTTATTTTCATTCATGGTTTCAGTGGGTTGCAGTCCATCATGATGAAGAAGACATGGTGAGAACAGCAGCTCTGTCACTGGTGATGAGTGTTCACATGGCTGGGGGCCAGGAAGCATTGCCTGTGGCCAGGATGAGGGGTGGGTATAACCTTGTAAGGCCAGCCCCTAGTGATCTACTTCTACCACTCAGGACCTAAAGGCTCTACAACCTTCAAAATACCACAGTCTGACGACAAAGCACTCAAAACACAATCCTGGGGGAGAACATTTCGCATACTAAATCTATAACATTCTGTTTCTGGCCTCTATAGGCCTCATACACATTTCATAATGCAAATGCATTTATCTCAACTACAAGTTCCTGAAGTCTTAATAGTTCTAACATTGGTCAAATTCCTAGCATCCAGAGTTTGCTCTGAGACTGAGAGTCATCTTTTAACTGTGAGCCCATGTAAACTGAAAAAACGTTACACACTTAAATACAAAGGCACTGAGTAAACATTCCCCAAAATGAGAAATGGGGACATAGCAAGAAAATGTTGGAATTGGGATTATAAGAAGGTACCATCCTGCCTGGCTGAGAGTTTTTCCAATTTTTCTTTTTTGCTTACTCATCTCATTCCTATCCAGAGGTCATTGCACAGAATAAATCTACCAAATTCCACTGAAACATAAATGTAGAAATTATTCATTCAGTAAATATTATATAATGCATGTTTTTCACAGGTAAAAATATTGACTCTTCCTCTTTGATGCACATTGACAATAGCTATAATAAACAATAGCTATAATGCACATTGACAATAGCTGTAATAAACAACATTGGAATATGTGACATAATTAAGAAAGCAAAATCAAATACAACTCCTTGGTACATTTTTGGTATAATAATAGCTGAGAAATATGTTGTATGAGCAAATCCTAACAAAGATACTCTGTGATAGCAATAAGAAAAATTACTAAATAAGTAACATGTGACAAACTTTCAGGGCAGAAAAGGACTAAGACAAAGAAAACCAGATGAGAAGGTAAAGTAAATGCGGGTTGGAGGGCAATTAATGTTGAAGTTAAGGCTCATAGACCAAAGACCCCCCTGTAGAGTAAAAGACAATTATGAGTGGTTTTTCAAATAAAGCGATAACAAATACTGGCAACAGAAGACTCTAGGAGCAGAAGGGATCAAGTCATAAAAGAGTTTGGAAATGACCTAACAATCCAAAATTGGTGAAATATTGTAGAAAATTTTTTGAAAAGAAATGCTTTGCCAATTGTAAGGGTATGGGGGTGATGGGATGAAAGCCTAAAATTGTGAAGTTCATTTCATATAAAATGAGGCAAGGAATGCAAGATTTAGTCATATTCTGCAATATCTATTTTTTAAAAATTTTTGTTCCCATTGACCATTCTGCTACTTAGAAGCAATGTTCAAATAAATACCTCTGATTTTTTTTCTCACAATATTGTCGTAGTTTATGGAAAGTGGAAAAAAAACCACTGAGACCGTAATACACATAATCAATAGAAATATGTAGTATATATAGCAAAGTGTGGAAAATATATTAGACACCATACTAGACTACTAGACACACTGAAACTACATTTACCTCAACATGAGATCCATGAGAGGGAGGGAGGAGTGAGGGATGGATCTCAGCTACATCTACACACTATAATTTTTAATACACAGAATCAGAGCATATACCACAGCTCCTCCATGCATAAGAATGAAAATAAAAACAATGGCTGCTAATATTTATTGAATGCTTACTGTTATGTCATGCGTAAATACCTGCTTCATTTAATTTTTTATATTTCTTGTGATATGTAAGTGCACTGTTATTATCTTCACTTTTCAGAAGAGAAAAGAAACATTAAGAAATTCCAGGTTTATAGGGGCTGGAGAGAGGGCTCAGTGGTTAAGAGCACTGAGTATATCCACATGGTGACTAACAACCATCCTTAACTCCAGTTCCAGGGGAATCCAACGCCCTCTTCTGATTCCATGGGCATTGCACAACATGGGTGCACTTACACCCAGGCAGGCAGTATACTCATACAGATAAAATAAAAATAATAAATAAAATTCCAGGGGATCTAACACCTCTTCTGATCTCTGTAGGCATTGCATGCACATGATGTACCATGACACAGGTGCACTTACACACATGGAGGCAGTATACTCATACAGATAAAATAAAAATAGTAAATAAAATATTTTAAAAAACAAATTCCATGTTTAGTTAAATAACTTAAAGCCTTGCTCTATTTATTTGTTTTGCCATTTATCTCCTTCTCCAGTACAGCTCTTTCAGTCTCCACGTTGCTCACTTGTCATTTTTCACCCCTTCAACATTGTCCCCTTGCTTGTTTTGCCTTATTTCAAGGACATAGCAGTTTTTAAATTTGAGAATATACAAGGTGATTTCATTAGAGCCTGGGTCTAGAGCCTGATGCTTCGACGAGCAGGCACATCACAGTTCCACCTGCTTGAGTTTGACTCCAGAAAACATAGAAGAGAAATGAACATGAATATCAAAGCACATCCTGTGCCATGCATTGAACACTAAGCTTTTCTCATTTATTTTCCCCAATAGCCCTTGAAGTGGAGAAACTACTCTCTTTTCCATTTTGTTAATAAAAAGACCAATGCCCTGATAATTTACTTGACGTTTATCTGGCCACAAAGCTAGTAGGATTAGAACTGGTCCTTAGGTGCTCTGGCTTTACAGCCCCTGATCTTTTTACAGTCCTGTGTTGCCTACTTAAAGAGCTAATCTTGACTTGTTAGGGGGCTTCTAATTCTTTTTAGTGAGATGGCATAAAACAATATTGGTTGGAGTGTAAATCTGGCCTAGTTGTAAAGCAGAGTCTCTTCCATTATCTCCTTGTGCTGGCTTCCCTCAAAGAAGTGAACCCTAACAATTTGGAAGTTACAGCATAGCAGATGTTCCTCCAGCCTTCTGCAAAATTGCAACCAGAATTAAAATTACAGTCCTGGAGTATGACTCTGTCTTCCCAATGCATATCTTGTCCTCCTGATAAGGGGCTGCCAGGGACTCAGTGCATCAAGAGTTGTCAGTATCTGCACACTAACTTTCCATGATCACTGCCTCCTTTATCCTAGTAGTTAGGCTAAGATACTTCCCTGTGTGTTCTCACAGAAAACTGTAATCTCAAAGCTTTTATCTCAGTTTTCAATTACATGTTCATTAAAATGATCATTTACTTTGTTACTTGTGCTCCATGTGAGCAGATCCAGTGCTTGTCCTCTGTATTCCAAGAACAGTCCTCAGTAACTATTTGGTAAACAAGTAAACACTTTCCTTTTAAAGAATCAGGTGACTTGACTACTTTTTTGGCCATAAAAGAAAGGCTATCTTCATCATGGATGAATGGGCCTGTATGTGGAGCCTATCCAAGCACGCATTTGTTTGAAGTATATATGGTAGAAAAAAAAATATTGACTGTGTGGCTTTCCTGCTGTGGCCACTGGACACTTTAAGCTTTCCTGAAATACAGATGATCTCAGCTTACCTCTTTCTGGTGATATTTTATTGCCACCTTCAGCTTGGCCAGGTCATGGTATTTCTGTGGGTCAAGTTCTTCACTGTGGTCATCTCGATGGTTGAGGATGATCTCCAGTTCCCGGGAGCTCCGAGCTTGGTCTAGCAGGTCCTTGGCAAAGAGCTTACACTGCTGGGAGAGCTCCTCATACTCAGCTTTGAACTCATTTTCCACCTTGCTTAGCTCTTTCAGCTCCCAGCCCAGACGGAAGGCAGTGAGGATAGGGTCCTCACTTGATAAGGCAATGAGTGAGGGGCTTGCTAGAGCCTTGTAGATGTTCAGTCGGGAGCGGGAGTGACGCAGGCTATCTACTTCTGAACTTGACACACACTCCACACAGTTGCAGCGGATTTGGTGGGGCCGTGGGATAGTGACTCGTTTTTGAACAAGCAATTTGATGATTTCATAGTTGTTGGTGTGTGCAGCCAACATGATGGGAGTGATGTCTGGTGTGAACTCAGAGAACTGGGTGTCCATCATTAGAGTGGGAACCTACATACAAGAAATGAGAAACAGAGGGGGCAGAGTTAACTTTAGGAGAATGAAGAAACATAGAGGCATCCATTGGTAATTCAGGAACTGAAGCTTCCATTCCCTTGTGACTTCTTACCAGAACAGCTTATGTTCTAGTTACTTCTCTAAGAATTTTACACATATTTACTCATTTAACATTCAGAACAACCCTAGTTGGCAGATATTCGTTTCATGTCAAGAAGCTGAGAGAGGCTAATAAACATACCCAAAATTATATAGCTTTCAGTATTAGAGCCAAAATTCAAACATGGATAATGTGACTGTAGAGTTTGGCTCTTAAAATTACATTATCACAATATGACCAGTTCTATTTATGCTAGACTAAGGGAAACAGAAAAGTAAAGGATGTTGTTCCTGAGATTCTGGAGCTGTTATATAGATCATGTCTACGCAAAATTGTTAACAGTACAGGGCAGAGTGTGCTCATTTCCAACTGAGCTGTTGGGACTGCCAGAATATTGACTTGAAAGGCTAAAGACAGGCAATCACTTCAAAGACCATGCAGCTAAATAAAGTCATAATGGCTAAAGAGAAGACTCTCACAAATGGTAACTTTAACTTTGTCTATACACAGGACTTTAGGGGACTAATGGGCAGACAGTTTCATTAAACGTCTAGGTCTTTGGAAGTTAGAGAGAATTTGATATTGTCAGGAGAAGTAATCTTGTAAACGAGGACTTCTAGGTTTGGAGTTGCTAATGGCAAAATAGAATGTTTGTTAAAACTGCTGTGTCTGGGGAACAATGTTTGGTGGAAATAGCAGCTATAGATAAAAGGTACAGAGCTCTTTCTGTATTCAGGGGCACACTCAGGGACGTGCACAGCATGTGATCAAGGAATTAAAAGGCATCTTCTGACTCGAAAACGTATCTTTGGGGACTTAGTCTGTTTTCAGTCCAATAAAAAAGTAGAGGGACTTGGTGAAATGTTTGCCTAGCACGCGCAAAGCTTTGGGTTCAATTCTCAGATCCACATAAACTGGACATGGGGGTGAACACCTGTAATCCCAGAACCCAGAAGGTGGAGGAAGGAGCACCGGGAGTTGAGGGACATTGTTGGCTACATACCAGGATCAAGGACAGCTTGAGTTATAGGAGATCCTGTCTAAAAGGCAGAACTGGAAGATGAAGAAAGAGTGGGGCAATCATGGGAATGTTTACTGAAGGGATATCTGAGTATTCAAAGCATGATAGCATTCAAGCAGATGAGAAAATATTGATATTAAAGGGGAAAAAATACAGTTCCAAATACTTTAACTGAAGAAAGGAGGAACAAGGACAACGGGACTCTCACAAAATAGAAAAACATTATTTTAATCAATAGTTCCTTTTTATTCTGTAAAACAATGATAATAGTAACAATCTATAGTTACTGGCAACCTTACAAAAGCATGAGTTACTGTTTTCCATCATTTTTTCTTCTCTCTCACCTTGTATAAGGGATTCCTAAGCAAGGAAGTGACCAGAAAGGTGGGAGTGGGAGGAAAATTGAGGAGGAAGAGATGACAAGAACTCTGCTTCCTTCACTGAGTGATTGTACCTTCACTGAATGGCTGTGTTGGCCTCAGAATAGCTGAAAGTTATGGGTCATCATTTGCTACAGTGGAGAAAACAGTAAGTGCTGTAAAACACTGAGAGATGGAGCAGCTATAAACAAAACAGAGGGACGTGAACAATTCAGCTCATAAAGTAAATTGGACACAGGAAAGAATAATCTCAGAAATTAGCATGAGCCTACAGGCTAAGGAAGAAATAGGTCTGAGTGGGCCTGGAAATGAACATAGACACAATCGGCATAAAGTCTAGAGTGGGAAGAGATGGAAAGTGAGCAATTTGTCACAGTCTGCCCCGGAAGAAAAGAGCTTAAATGTGTAAAGCTGTCTTTTCTAGAGATAGCGGCATTCTTTAATCTTTGTCACCACCTGAAAGGGTCAGAAGGAGGTGGAAGGGGTGATAACCTGTTGGGCAGGCTTCTCTGGGTTAGAGTAGACATACTGTCTGCTTTCTACCATGCTGTTCAACCTGTGCTTTCTCATCCCTTCCTTGCTCTTTGTGTTTTTGTTCTTTCCATTTCTTTTCTTCTACGTCACTGCTGCTAGGACTGTCCAAGACTCACGAAGTCCCTGAAATTATTGCTTAGCCCTGCTTGTGTTGTGGAACTGATAGGATACTGTCCATGACTTGAATATGAAATGTGTTCAGCAGCTGTTTTATTCCATTGTTTAAAAAGGAATTTTCTGATTTCCTCATTGGCTTTCTGATTACTTGAGACCAGAGAAGAAAACTTCTCAAAGAGAGAAGCTCTACAGTGACCATGTCTTCCCCTCAGAGCACCTTTTCTTCTCTAGTCAGTGCTGTCACTCAAAGGTTGAGCACTCAACTCATTCACTGCGTTCTTTTGTAGGGTCCCCAGTGTGAAATGTTCTTGCCCCATTTCTTTGTTTGGCAAAGGCCATGGCAAATTCTACTTTCTTTGATAGCTTCTGCTGCTAAATTTGCAACTATCTCTGACTGGCCCCTCAAATATTGTAGGTGCTAGCTTACATCCAACATAGCTACTATTTTAATGCTGTTTTACATTGTTTTTGAATTATCTCACAGTATTCTTCTTTACTTCCTTGTGATGGTTAGTGTTACTTGTCAGCTTGAAAGAATCTACAATCACCAGGGGCATAGGCCTCTGGGCATGCTTGTGCTTTTCTAAAAATATTTTTATTAATTTTTTGAGAAATTCATCTAATGTATTTTGATCATTTTCACCCAACTTCTCCCAGATCCACCTCACCTCCATTAGCCCCCCAAATTTTCATGTTCTCTTCTCTTTTTTAAAAATTTAATAATCCTTCAATTCCAATTTGTGTTATGTGTGTGGGGCCATCCACTGAAGTGTGGTTGACTTATTAGGAGCCACACCATTTAAAGTAACCTGACTCTCCCTCCTCCAGAAGCCATCAACTGTCCATAGCTCCTCAACGGTTGTGGCTCAGAAGCCATTCTCACTATGATTATGGTTGATGTGGGGAGACCTGCTTCCATGGGTGGTGTGAGTCTCTGGCTGGGATTCTGGACTATATGAGTAGACAAAGCAAGCTGAGCACTAGCATGCATTCATTACACTTTTCTGGCTGAGGACATGATGTGATCACTCACCTCAGGCTCCTGCTGCTTTTTGACTTACCCCAATGTGATGGACTGTACCTTGAACTATGAACTAAGGTAAACCTTAAGTTGGTTGTCATGGTATTTCATAACCATAACAGAAAAGAAACTGAGACACTCTTCAATAAGGTGGAGAACACTGTCCTGAAGGTGAAGCTGTTCTAGTCTACTCTTGTTGCCCCAAAGCGGGGAGTACAGCCCTAGACACACAGGCAGGCATCAACAGACAAAGGAATGAAATACCCTATTCTAAAATTAAGACATTAATTCCCTTGCTTACCACATCAACTTCTACACCTTGGAATGATGTAGGTTCATTTTCTGGGGGCATTTCTTCCCATATTTTGTTGGGAAGGAAGATATATCAAGACTGTAAGTAGCACAAGAGCACACTAGCTCTATAGAGAACTATGCTGAGCCCTCCAAAACTTTGCTCAGCTCCTGTCTGAAATTTTACACAATTTTGTTGTTTTGATATGGAGTCTCTGGTACTTAGATCCTAGATTTCTGCAACTCCTACATAGCTCCTTTGGATAAAATTTAAATGAACTGTATGAAATAATTTGTTTCATTGTGGCAATTTTATGCATGCATATAATGTACTTTGACTATACTCTCCTTTAACCCTGTCTTTATCTCTTTCTGTTCCACAGTCCTAGGCCTCTTCCCAAATAGTCACCTGTCTATGTTTACATAAGTTTTTTTCTAACTAATATTCCTTATGTCAGAGTAAATATCTCATACTATCTTTATGTGTCTCACTTGTTTCACTTAACACAGTCTCCCATTGCATTCACATTCTTGGAAAAGACCTAATTTCATTTGCTATGACTGAACAAACTCTGTTGCATAGTTATTTGCCTATCCATCTGTTGATGTACATTTAGGCTGGTTCCATATCATGGCTATTGTGAATAGTATTTTAGTAAACATAAGTGTTCTGGTAACTATGTGGTATACTTTGATTCTTTTGTGTGTATACCCAGTAGTGGTATAGATAGGCCAAATAGTAGTTCTATTTTTAGTTATTTGAGGAAATTTCACACTGATTTCCATAGTAGTTGACCTAATTTACATTCTTAATAGCAGTATATAAGAGTTCATTTGCTAGTGTTTATTGTTCTTTGTTGATGACAGACATTATAAAGTCTAAGATGGAACCTTAAGGTATGTTTTTTTTGTTGCTTTTGTATGATTCTTTTTAAAAATACATTTTTTCTCAATTTATTGATAATTTCACACATGTATGCAATGTATTTTGATCCTATTACCCCCCATTCTCTTAGCTCCTCTCAGATCTACTCCTAATCCTCCTCCTTTTTGTTTTTTGAGACATTCACTCTGTAGCCCAGGCTGACCTTGAACACATGATCCTCTTGTGTCAGTCTCCTGAGTTCTGGAATTAGACATGTGCATCACTACACCCAGCATCTCAAAGTAGTTTTGATTTGCATATACCTGGTGACTAAAGAAGCGGAACAGTTTTCTTCATACGTTTATTGGCCTTTTGTACTTATTTGGAAAACTGTCTGTTCAGTTCATTTACTCATTTATTCATTAGATGATTGATTATTTTCTTGTCTTTTTGAGTCCTTTATGTATTCTAGATATTAATCTCCTGAAGAAGAGCTCACAAAGATTTTGTTCCAGTTTTTAAGCTGTCTTTCCTTTCTGGTAATGGTTTACTTTGCTATGCAGAAACTTTCAATTCCGCATAAACTCATTTGAAAACTTCAAACTACCAATGAGGCACTGTGGAACACGGAGTTGGGTAGAGAACAGAAAATCATCTCCCATCAC